TAAAAAGCATGATAGGACTCGGACTGTTTGTTTGGCAATAATAATGGTAACTAAAGGAAGCGAATGCAATTTGGCTCGAAATCATATGCGCGATTTCCAAATCAAACGAGGGCAGGGAGTGTTTGATTTGAAATAAAAAGTATGAATTCGGAACTAAATTGCACGACATCATGATCAGTTTCCACTTTTTAACACCCCTTTTAAAATCGTTGACTTGTTTATTTGTAGTGTTGCTTTCTCCTGGCTGAAAAAAGGATGCAATTTAGAGCAAAAAAGAGCCGATCCAAAAGTAAGATAACTAACTTGATAACATAACACCTACTTTTTTAATATTTTTAAACTCAACTGACAGGAGTTTATCAGTTATTTATCGTTTACTTTACAAAAGCTCTGAAATATTTTTTTCGTGTAGTGTTGCTTTCTCATTGGCTGAAAAAAGAAAAAAGGAGTTTTTCATGGTCATCAGTAGCACTATTACCACACACCCTAAAAAAACGATTTCATCTTTAAAAACATTCAGCTGGAAAGTCAACACAAACATCAGTTTCAAACGTAGACAACGGAGTCTGTCAAAGAACAGTACTTACTATCCTGGTCTGTTCTAGCAACAATAGCAGGGCTACTCTCTGGTCCATCGCCTTTCGAAGTCGACGCACGTATTGTGATGTTGTAATTGACATACTCTCTAAGATCTGTTAATTCCTTTTGACGGTTATCGGGGCCAGCCTGATCACTTCCGTTGTCACCCTCTGTTTGTGAGCGGTAAATAATGGTGTAACCCGTGATGATACCATTCTGTTCAAAAGCTGGAACATCATCCCACTCTACTAAGATGCTGGTTGAACTTGTGTTACGTCCTCTAACATTTGAAGGAGCAGCAGTAGGTTCTGAAAAAAAAAAAAAAGTTCACGGAAAAGGCATTAAAATATATCTGAAGTTACACACACTACAACAAAATTATTGTACCGAAGGATGACCGGGACTCACACGGGAGCCTTTCTTCTTGACTATCAAGTCGCTAATCCTATCCTTATTTTGAGTAAAAAATAAACAACAAATCGCGGAAAGAAGAAAAGCTGGTAGTTGTACTCATAAAAACCGGGACAAAAGATAGCAGTATTACCACACACCCTAAAAAAACGATTTCATCTTTAAAAACATTCAGCTGGAAGGTGAACACAAACATCAGTTTCAAACGTGAACAACAGAGTCTGTCAAAGAACAGTACTTACTATCCTGGTCTGTTCTAACAACAATAGCAGGGCTACTCTCTGGTCCATCGCCTTTCGAAGTCGACGCACGTATTGTGATGTTGTAATTGACATACTTTCTAAGATCTGTTAATTTCTTTTGACGGTTATCGGGGCCAGCCTGAGCACTTCCGTCGTGACCCTCTGTTTGTGAGCGGTAAAAAATGGTGTAACCCGTGATTATACCATTCTGTTCAAAAGCTGGAACATCATCCCACTCTACTAAGATACTGGTTGAGCTTGTGTTACGTCCTCTAACATTTGAAGGAGCAGCAGTAGGTTCTGAAAAATAAAAAGGTCACGGAAAAGGCCTTAAAATATATCTGAAGTTACACACACTACAACAAAGTTATTGTACCGAAGGATGAACGGGACTCGCACGGGAGCCTTTATTCTTAACTATCAAGTCGCTAATCCTATCCTTATTTTGAGTAAAAAAAAAAACAAATCGCTGAAGGAAGAAAAGCTGGTAATTGGACACATAAAAACTGGGACAAAATAAAGCAGTATTACCACACACCCTAAAAAAACAATTCATCATTAAAAACATTCAGCTGGAAAGTGAACACAAACATCAGCTTCAAACGTTGACAACAGAGTCTGTCAAAGAACAGTACTTACTATCCTGGTCTCTTCTAACAACAATAGCAGGGCTACTGTCTGGTCCATCGCCTTTCGAAGTCGACGCACGTATTGTGATGTTGTAATTGACATACTTTCTAAGATCTGTTAATTCCTTTTGACGGTTATCGGGGCCTGCTTGAGCACTTCCGTTGTCACCCTCTGTTTGTGAGCGGTAAAAAATGGTGTAACGCGTGATGATACCATTCTGATCAAAAGCTGGAACATCGTCCCACTCTACTAAGATACTGGTTGAGCTGGTGTTATGTCCTCTCACATTTAAAGGAGCAGCAGAAGGTTCTGAAAGGAAAGTTCATAAAACAGGCCTTAAGATATCTCAAACGTTATTTTGTTAGCATCAATATTTGTTTTTTCATGGCTTACAGATCTCTCGGCGGCTCGCGTGTTCCAGTTGATCTTCCCAAAGTTCTTCAAAAAGGAGTTGGTCAGACTACAGGTCTCTACAATTAAATTCAATAACAAAAGTCCAATAACAAAAAGGAAACACTTACTGTCCTCAGCCGTTTTGACATAAACAGGATCACTGGCTGGTCCGTCTTCAATTTTCGTCGATGCAAATACTGTGATGCTGTAGTTGACAAACTCCTTGAGACCAGTTAGATTTACTTGACGACCTGGATAATCCACTGCTGTACTGTTCCTGTGATTCTCCATCAGTGAGTGATAGCTAATATTGTAACTCGTGATGATACCATTCTGGTCAGCTTGTGGAACTTCATCCCATGTAACTGAGATGCTTTTGGAGCTGAGACTTTGTCCTTCCACATTGGAAGGGGGAGCAGTAGGTTCTTAAATAGAGAAAAATATAAATTCATCTATTGCGTTGCTTAAAATTTCAAAATTAAACGATTAAGCGAGAAAAAAGGAACGAGCTCCAAAAAATTATAGAAAATACCCTCTACAACTTTATCTAAACAAAACAGTACTATCATAAACTGAGCCCTCAAATCAAAATACTATTTAAGGATATGGATTTCCTCTTATAATCTTTGAGAGAGCAAAGGGATTTGGGTAATTAAATGTGCAGTAGCAGTGGCATTGCTTTTCGACCGAACAGAAAACACTAGAAAAACTAGAACAGTAAGATAGGCCAAAAATTTAAAAAAAGATGATTTTAACGCATCTTTTCCTGCAATAATTACTATAATTTTGAGCGCAAATCCAGTGCGAGTTGCTCCTGGGTGAACAGTAAAGGATATTCGGAGTTTCTGTGGCCAATCAGAGCGCGCCTTAGACGATAACCAGTTTTAGTATTAACTTAAGACTACAAATACCAGCAAGAAAACGACAGTACTAAAAGTCGCAAACATTGCCAGTCAGCTTAAAATTTAATAGGCTGTATCGGTTTCCATGGAAGCACTGTAACTTTACAGTGTCGGAATATTTACGACCAATTACATCGAGAATTGCATAAATATATTGCAACTGGAATTTAACTCACCGTCTTGTTGTGTTTGAACGATTTTGACTTCACTTGATGGACCATCTCCAACAACAGTGAATGCTAACACTCTGATGCTGTAGTTTGTGAACTTGATCAGATCACCTAAAGTTACATCGTCTTCCTTTTCTTGATCCTCAAAAGAGATGTTGCTGAAACTTGTGACGTTGTCCCCATCTGGTAACGCTTGATAAATTACTTTGTATCCTTTGATAATTCCATTACGATGTTGCTTAGCGACAGCAGCCCAGCTCACAGAGACGCTTGTGGAATTTTTAACAATAGCTTGGACACTTTTTGGCGAGTCACTGGGTTCTAAAGGTAAAAGCAAAATGCAACGTTGTCAGGCAATCTTTTATGTAAAAGGATGTTATTGTTATACGTTAGACTAACCATGAAAACCCTGTTTCGTGAGGAGCATTCAGTCAAGATAGAGCAGCGCGTGAACTCGACATGGCAACTCAATATCTGTAGCAGGTATTAGGTTTTATTATCCAACTACACCTAGACGAGTACAAATAACGCCATAGACGAGTACAAATATCACGCGATATTTGTACTCGTCTATTGTAGTACCGGCTAAACAGGTCTTCTCCCATCGCGCAAGCGAAGAATTCGATTGTAGTTACGAAAAGAGAAAGTGGCGGACAATTTGAATCATATTTCCGACGACGAAGAGTCAGAATGGCTGGCAAATATAGATCCAAGTTCATTAGATGAATCGAACGAAGAAAAACAGCTTGACGACCACAAAATTTCTTCATTTATTGAAGAAAATAGAAGCAGCAGCACAACAACGCGCCAATTCCGTTCCGCTTCGCATACTTCTGTCACGCACTCCCCGTAAATAAATATCCGCGAAATTCGCCCGCACTGAAATAACAGTTTGGCGTGTTGGATAATAAATAACTTATTAGACGTTTTGTTGTGTAGTATCGCTGAGTATTTTTACTCGTTATTTGTATTTTGACTCGCCCTACGGGCTCGTCAAAATACGGCACAACTCGTAAAAATACTCAGCGATACTACACAACAAAACGTCTAATAAG